TCAGTATCAGAAGCACCGTATCGTCTATCTGCTAGTGTCAAGTCAAGTCCAAGTAGAACATAAAGTGTGAGGTTAAGTTAGTTGGTACTCTTAATTTTCCAGATTCCAGATGTTTAATTCTTTTCTTATTGGTTTTATGAGTAAACTATTTAGGCCTACATTTTTTTTAATAATTATTGATTCTGACTATTCGATATCGTCTTACGGTATACCTGGAAAAAGTATAATATCAGTCTGGAAAACCTGGAAAAGTCAGGGAATTTCATTTTCCAAAATCAGTACCAACCCTGTATAATCATTATTTAAAGTATTAATTAAAAAAAATCACAAATTACTCACTATTATTACTTTACTTTTAACAGAAACATTTCTACAAACTTAATTATTGTTTTCCAAGTGGAAATAAAAAATATATATTTTTAGGCCTAAAACGACTTCCGATAACATGGGGGCTCGGATAACAAGGGCTCAGATAATCGAGAGTGTACAGTAGCTGTTACTGTATAATCATTCTATATTTTAAGTGTAGGCCTATATTTTTCCTGTGTCATTGCATTGGAAACCTTATTTTTTAAGGCGGATGTGTTTATTTTATTAATAAATTCTTTTCTTCTCCAACATCAATTGCTGTGTTTTAAAAATATATAACGGTAATACTAAACTAATAAGTACCATAAACAATTGAAACATTATTCAAAGGTTTGAACACTATCCCTTATAAGAAAAACTTACTGACACTTATATTGATGCAATAAAGAAATCCACTAGTTAACCGCCTGTGCTCCGCCACGGGAATATTTTCAGTGATAAAAGACATAATAAAATTATCAAATGCTGTTTATTTTTGTATTTAATTTAGGGGCTGCGTAATTTTTTAATATAAAATAGAACTGATGGCTGGCCTGTATAAACGATTTATGTTAAGGTAATCAAATTGATATATTAGTGTTACCAAATAAATGTTGAATATTAATTTGAGTTTGAGTCATTTGAAAGATAAATAGTGTGCAAACTGTGCAATGCTAAAACCTAATAATTTACTTATTCTATGGAGATAATTTGTTCATTCATGTATATACATTCGTTGTTTTTTTTTTCTTTACATTCGATGTGTGAAAATAGTCACTTAAATCACGCATCAGTTGGTCACATATCTTTGAGTCATTCTGTGAGCAAGAACTGGGTTTTTGTCATATATGCTATATAAAGTTAGGCACACTTTGGTTTAGGGATGGACAGGTCCCGAAATTTCGGAAAATTTTCAGGAAAAAAATATTCTTGATTTTCGGGATGGGATTATATTTGACTTGGGAATTTTTCGGGACGGGATTTGGTCCGATCGTCAGCAATTTTGCCGCTTCGCGAGTGACGATGACACCACTATCGCGAGAGATGTTCACGATAGTTCCGCGAACGCAGGAGGCGAAGTCATTTTGACAATCGCCCCGTGACCGCGGAGTCATACCGACGAGACCGCGAGTAATACCGACGATCGCTCCGTGACCGTTGAGTCATATCGACGTTCGCGCCGTGACTGCGGAGTCATACCAACAATCTCCCCGTGGCCGTGGAGTCATACCGACGTTCGCGGCGTGACCACGGATTCATACCGATGATCTCCCCGTAACCGTGGAGTCATACCGACGATCACCTCGTGACCGCGGTCATTTTGACGATCGCACCGTGAACACGAGTCATTTCGACCACGAGTCACAAGTTTCATTCAATTCTAATAGGTACCTGTAAATTGTTACCAGTTTTTATAGATCAGTGCCACAAACGGCAAAATTTTTTTTTTCTTTGTCTTTTTTGGTCCATTTTTGTTGTTTTTTCCCGTCCATCCCTACTTTGGTTCAATGTTACAGGCATTAACGGTCCAATCTGATGGTAAAAAGAGTCCCGAATCTTAGAATTATATTGACTACCAGAATGATGTTGATTCATCTAAGTGAGACTTATAAACTCTCCATTGCAAATGAAGAGTTGTATTGCCTTACATTATCCAAATAGTTTTTTGAAAGTGTTTTTGTTTCTTTTCAATGTTTGATACTTAACACTTAATTGATAGTCGAGGTAGCCCCGTTGATAAGATTTTCTTTGAACTCAGAATGTTAATTATGAGCTAATTTTACCTTCCCCTTATGACAACATAACGAGAATATATTTGTGTATCTGTTAGTATGTTCTGACTCTAAATTCATAGATTTGCAGTAGTGACAAATCAAATTTAACGACCCCAATTCAAAATAGTCTGTGTTTTTTGTAGGGACTTCCATAGCACATTTAACACCATCACTGCTATTTACTTTTTTAGTTTGATGGTTTTCCACTTTTTTTTGTTCTGGTTGTCTTTTTATGGTTAATGACTTTTTACCTTTTCTTTTATTTTTGTACTATTCACACCCTGGGGTTTATGATAAAATAGTATAACGCTGTAAATGACCCAAAACAACATTGCCATTAACACGTTCACTACCGAGCGACGCACATTTGCGTCGGTCCGGTCACTCCTACAGACCAAATGAATGATCATGACATTGCTTACAGACCAAGTGATATAGGAATAACATTGCCGACAGACCAAAAGAGAAATATAATTTAAATGGACTAATTGACTTCATATTAACCTTTAGTGAATTAGTAAGCAATAAATATTGTTTTTATTTATCGTTTTGAGCAAATTTTAAAACGCCGCATATACAGTCTATTTAACGAAATCCAGTTAAAAAGATTACATTTTCGTTTCAATAGACCAGGCGACGCACGTAAGCTTCGTTGTAAATTTGGTTGTTTCAAGCTTTTACACAAACAAATAAAGAAACTCCACTAAACACTAGCCAAAACTGCTAAGGTTATAACGTTTACATCTGTTTCTATGATGTCGCGGAATACACAATGTAAACAACAATGTTGCCAACTGTTGTGTGACGTAACCAATCGTCATATCCACAGACCAAGCGATGCACATTTGCGGCAGATATCCCTCTAGACCGATACGATAAAATCAGGTGTTTAAAATAGACCGTTGCTAAGAAATACGCTGATTAATAACATTGAACACCGACGCAACTGTGCGTCGTTAGTCTATTTCAATGTGACCAGCTGACGCAAATATGTGTCAGTGGTCTATTGTGAGAAACGAGTCGACGCACAATTGCGTCGCTGGTCTATGCGAACGTAAATTCCATATAATTGTGGTAGCGAACGTGTTTAACATCAAGTCACACACGTCTTCTCCAGAACCGAAATCGTAAGTCACAGTTTCTCAAGCAACTTCCCTGTGTAGATATTCATGTTTTAAGAAAGTAAGCGGACAGCTGATTTTGCGGCCCTAGGGATGTAAAAACCTGCTCGGTCTCCAAATAACGAGGACAGCTGGTATGGCCAGCAAAATGTAACTTTCAGCCACCAATAAACGTATGTGAAACAGCTTAAAACATCATAGTGTGGTGGAAAATATTATATCTAATTTCTTTGGATCAGCTGTCTGAAATTTTGAAATAAGTTCTTCTGGTTTACATTGAAATGGCAAAGCATATTTAAACACTGTGTTGTGATTGTTCTCATTACAACCATGGAGACCAATCAATATTTACTTAATAAAATCCTCATCTCAGAACAGTATTTTATTTCAATGAACCAAACCACAAAGAGTCAATAGTTATTTTATTATTGCAATTCTATTATTTTTCACAGCTTTTTGTTGCGAGTTGGTTAAAATTAGATGTTGTCATAAATGCAAAAAAAAAAAAATAACAGTACTGCACCCTGTTGGTAAACCTTATAACTTTTTAATGCTATTTAATATCATAGAACCAACTTATTTTTTGAAACAGCCGACAAAATTCAAATATAATTACTCATAAGGTTTACATGGGAAACTCCAGAGCCACTGGGGCGGAGCCCGAAGGGATTTTTGAGATAAGAATATATAATCTGGAATGTGAGCTATCATCACACCAAATTTCAGCCCGATCCAACCAGTATTTTTCACGTTTACTTACATACTTACATACATACATCCATACATCCAAACTTTCTCTTTTAATACTTTTTCAATGAAATGGCGACCATACATTTATAATATTAGTAGGATTTGAATTTGGGTTGGTGTTATATCACAATGAAAAACAGCGAGAAAGACTGGACAATTTGATATACTAAATAGAAAATTGTATTAACACTGTGCTGCATTTCTTGAGCAACCATTGAGCCCATGTGCAAACTAGGGAAACATAGGAAAGTCCTATAACTCCACCAAGTAGAAGTAATAGAAATAATGATTTTTTTAAATTTATAATTGATATTATGGACAACCTACTGCGGCTGTGAGTGGTAAGCATTTGTAGAAAACACTAAAAAACAAGATATGCTTTTGAAAAATTTTAAGATATTTACAAGAAATGTTGATGTCGAACTGTTATGTACAGTGAGTATTTCCATAATCTTTGAGTCAACTCTTTTTAAAGTCATCGAAAATTATGACTGTTATTCGTTTTAAAATAATGCCTGTAATCCTTATTAAAAATACGTGAAGGTGATTTCTATGAAACACTACTCCTCCGTTAATAATGGATGGATTTTTACAAACGATGTTTCAAAATTAGCCTAAGTAGTTTTAGTGTAGACGCCCCCTTTCTCCAATTCCTGTAATTAAAGTCCCCGGGCTTTGCCCCACAAGCCATCAAAATCCCAATGTATTTCTTATGAAGAAACGATTTTGTTTACTTAGACGAATAGTTTGTGTTAATTACAGCTGTTCATAGTAAACACTTTTTTTTATTGTACACACAAGAGCGTTCGTTTTCAGAGTGAATTCGTTTCCAGTTTCGATAACTGGAGTGGAGTGATTGATTACATTATCTTTGAGTTTACTCTTTTAAGTCATTGGAAATTATGACTGCTATTTGTTTTGAATGCCTGTAATACTTTGCAATTGCCCGAATTCGAGCAACAGGTACTCTAGTATTATTTATTTGAGAGCAATAATTGTTTTCCAGACACACCCCACCCAGTCAGCCTTTCTGTCCAGTGTAGATCTTCACACACACTTCAGTTACCAGCTGATGATGCCAGAGGCCATAGCGATTGTGTGTGCTCCTAGATATCAAGAGTGAGTATTACTAACCGAGCACTAGTTTGATGCAGTTTATCCTTTTGGTCGATTTTGTAAATCACATTGAGGTACTACTGACACATGATCCATTTCTTCAGGGTTTTCTCAGGACTCTTGACAATTATGTAAAAATGTAATGCAAAATCCCTATTTCTGATCATCCAATCTCTATTTCTGAGTTAATTTCCCAAAACTAATACCATAGGTGATTCTTACTATAAAACAAATTACCTAAGCCAGATTTAAGTCTTTTTATCCTGTTTTACTTTTCTATAAACATAAACCTTGTAAAACTCTGTAGTGAAATATTTACTATGATTAACCAACCCATTTTATATCCTTGTCGTCTGCATCACAAACATATAGGAAATGGACAGGGGATTCTACTGCTTATGTTTGTTTTTTTTTTTACTAGAATCTATTTCCTTTTTCTTAATCGTTTCATTTCTGTAATGCACTGATTACTTTTAAGTTTGACTACAGTTAGACAATTGTGAAATCCGAGTTTATGTTAACACTAACAAACTGGCTATTTATTATACAATTGTCAAAGTGGAACAAATTGTAAGGGATCAGTGATCAATTGAACTCTGGCTTCATTGAGCTATCAGAGGTTAAAGGATGTATCGTCATATTGAAAAATTGTACCAGACAGTAGACATTGTAACATGAAATGTGCATCTTAGGAATAACACGTCTGTTGTATCTTCAGGGAATTACACATCTTACTAGCCACTCATTCTAGTTCTGATCCTACTGGATATATTTGTTCTTGTAAATTTAACTCTATTCTTGAATACATATATAAGCTATATCGTTTATTGCAGAGTGAAAGTGTTCTGTTTAACGCCTTATCATGGTCTGGAGTTCATTAAGAACTGTCGGCAACCTGGATTCCACCCCCACCCTAATGAACCACCGCTCTTTATGGTAAGTTTGCCATTATTATTATTTCTAATCACAATATATGTAGATTAGTGTTACTTTCAAAAAGGTGCAAATATTTTTGGTATTAGTGAAAACCAAAGCGTGGCCCATCACCAAACGGAAATGAGAGGTTCTACTGTTGCCAGCTTAGTCTAGGTTCTAGTATATCTTAATTTTTGCATATGAGCTTCTTACATACATCAATTAGCCCAACTAAGGCAGGTCATGACTGACATTTATTTATTGTAGGTAGCGGAACACTACAGGATGGACAGCTCTGCCGCTTTGGAAGTTGTTGATCTCAGGAGATAGTAGAACTGAACAGCTGACTGCACATTCCTCGCACCAAAGATTGCTTTTAACACACTGACTGAGCGATTATGTTGCTATATTTGTATAAATATTCGTATTATTTATTTTGTAAAATTAATATCATTATATAAATGCTTTATAAAGAGTCTCCTACTTTTTATTCCTTAACCAGTCAGTTATTCTTTGAATAGTTTTATATACTGTTTTTTTTTACTACAAACTTTCAGATATTATCTAAGATGGTGAGATCTCACAACAATAATGTGTTAAATTTTTATCAGGTAACATTTTTTCAGCTATCAAATTGTTTGATTTTTGATGATATCAGTAGAATGAATCTTAAGAAACAAACAGTAGTATATTGCATCTATAGTGCCTAAAGTAGCTCTTTTCGACACAAGCTTAAGTTTAATCAAATCAAATCAAATCAAAATTTTCTTTATTCATTATGTACACATAGAGTACAGAATGGCGTCAACAAGTACTATTATAAACTAGTAAGTACAAGTATATATAATACAATAATAAATTAAAAATTGTAATCACTGTAAGAAATCAAATTAACCGTTACAGAGAACATATGCTCAAAAAAATTCATTAAAACTGTACAAAGGTTTAACAATTAATAAATTACTTCAATTTATTTTTGAAGGACCCGAAATCAGTTATACATTTTATGTTTTCTGGTAATGAATTATAAAATTTGATGCCTGAATATGTTGCCTTCTTCTCATAAAACGTTAGCTTATGTCTATTAAAACAAAAATTATTCTTATTCCTAGTTTCGTATCTGTGGTTAGAACCTAGCATACAAAGACTATTTTGATTTTTTTTAAATCCACAGAATCAGATCATAGATTAATTGGTTGTAAACTGTCATTATTCCTAAATTTGAAAAATGTTCTCTGGCTGACTCAAACCACTTAAGTTTCATTATTATTCTTATTGCTTTTTTTAATACAAGTATCATGTTTAAATTTTAATAAGATGTGTTACCACAAACCGACAAACCAAAATAGACATGAGAGTGCACAAAAGCAAAATAAACTGCTCTAAGGGTTTTAATATCACAAAATGGTGATAATTTTCTAAGGGTGAAAAGACCTGTTGACATTTTTTACAAACTAGAGATACATGAGTGTTCCAGCTAAGAAGTCTATCAACAGTTAAACCAAGGAATTTTGTTTCCTTAATTTCATCTATAAAGGAATCATTAAGACAAACATTCTTTACCACAGGCCCACTTTTCCTATTTGAAGCGGAAAAATTAATATATTTCGTTTTCTGTTTATTTATTAAAAGGTTTAGATCAGCTTAATGTTGTTGGATTGCATTAAGTTTTATAAAAAAAGATATTTCTATATCATTTGCATGATGGTATCCGGATAGTTTTATATTTACATCATCTGCATATAAAGTGATTTTACTTTGATCACTGAAATTAGCTAAGCTATTGATGTAGCAGAAAAAGAATAAAGGTCCCAATATAGATCCTTGTGGTACACCATATGTCAACAGACTGTTACTGGAACGGCAAGATATAAGTTGATTAAACTTGTTTACGTATTTCAGTTCAACAAAAGTAAGAAGTTCGATTACAGTACATAAATAAGATTTGATCCAATCATAAGCTTTATTTTTTATTCCAAAATTTGAAAGAATACTTATAATTTGGTATGACAAACACTATCAAATGCCTTGCTGAGGTCGATGAAAATTCCTACGGTTTGCTCGCCTTTATCTATAGAATCAATGGATGATTCTATGAAATCTGTACTTGCACTTATGACAGATTTGTTTTGTCTAAAGCCATGTTGCTCATTGGAAATAATCTCGTGAGACTCCAAGTATTTTGTCAATTGCTGTGCAACCACTCTCTCATACAATTTGAAAAAGGATGACAGTAAAGATAGCGGCCTGTAGTTAGAAGCAATTTGTGCATCACCAGATTTAAAAAGTGGGGTGTTTTTTGAGACTTTTAGTTTGTTGATAGGAAAAATGCCAGAAATGAAAGACGAGTTAATTACATGTGTTTATTTTTAATGATTATTTAAGAGACATTAAAATTTAATGTTATTTTTATTTTGGTGTTTAATGGTTTCTTTAGATAAACAGAGGCAAGTTTTATTATAGGCAAAGGTATGTCGTCATATCCAGCAGAGTATTTATTGTCAAATGATCTTAGTACACTCTCAAAGTCCTCTTCAGTAATAGCTTCAAAAATACTTAGTTTGCTGTTGACCGCTCACATGGTAATGACCGGGAAGAAGCAGGGATTGAAAATTGATGAGGGCCAAAAGTGGTCCATAAAACTGGCTCGGCCATGACAATATTTATACAAATACAAAGTATGAAATAGGTTCTAAATAGTGGCATAGATTTTTTGATCGAATTCAATCATGGCCGCTCAAGTGACATGCTACATTTTAGCCAAAAACTTTAAAACATATATTACTTGGGTTATAGAGGGGGTACACATTTGTTAATTGGAGGTACAAAATAATTGCATAGGTCTTGATTTGATTCGATCATGGCCGGGCCAGTGACATGGTCGTCAAAAAATTGATCTTTAAAAAAAATCTGTAAATTTTGGAATTGTGTAACTTGTAGTTAAAAATATAATTCAACATATGACATAGGGCCTATGCAAATTTTTAAAACTATGTTTTTTTATCAGAACTATTTTCATTATGAAAATTAGCAGACAAATTATCTTTTGAATATTTAACGAGATAATATCTTAACTGTTTTAGTACCTATGAACAGTATTCTGGCCATTTTGCTACAGTCCAGTTATGCAAATTATGCCAAGACATAGGAGGGTTTTAAGCATGTCTTCATAGTGTAACCTGTTTTTAGTTAGGTGGACCCTTCCTAAATTTTAACCCACCAGCCAAAACTTTTACAGCATTCATCACTCATTTTAGAATAACTAATAGACATATTAACTTCTTGGCATGTTCCTATGGATTCAGTATTCTTGGTTTGTAATCTTCTTAGTTGTTACCATCTGGCTGAATAAATCCAGGTACCTTAATTTCTAGACATCTCACAGTGGTAATATTACTATATGTGAGGATATACCATTTCATCATTTGAGCACAAATTGATTGCATGATAAATTTAGGCACTGAACAAAAAATAAGTCATTTTTGTACAAATTTAGTTTTAGTTTACTTAAATCTCAAGTATAATACAAAACAGTCAAGAGTGATAACACAAATACTATTTATTTAAAGAATATTCTATAGCTTATCACAGAACCATCAGTTCATTACTCATTAATTCACAACTTCTGCAAAATGTTGGTCTCTTAAAAAAATTAGTTTCAGTTGAATACTTACAACTACAACTCATCTTGTAATATAGTGTTCTTTCTCTGTTATAGGGTAGGAAATAGATACAAACAGACTTTTATTTTTTTATCAGTGGTAAGTAAAAATATTTATTCCTATAAGTTATTAAGTTGCCTAATATTTACAAGTCGTTTACATTAAATATCACAAGTTAGGTAAGTTCCACACCTAGGTTGGTGAGAGGCGGTGCTATGTGATCTGTATCTGTGCTCTTTCAAACGTATGCATGTCAGCTACTTCGTCAAAGTCGTCTTCATTGATCAAAACATCTCTGCCAAACCTCCTCCTGCAACATTGCCAGGGTTTAAAAAAATATTAAACAGGTTTCATCTCAAGGTTGCTACATAGACGTGTTTCAGAAAAAAAATAGGAAAGTAAATATTCACATCACACCACTGATAAGTCAGTATGAAATACTGTTGAAAATATCAACAAGTTGATTTTATCAAAACAAGAATATTCATTGGTAAACATTAAACAAATATTTAAAAAAATCTAGTGATGAAGTTGGAAGAGTTTGTTTAGGAGGGTTCATCTATTCAAACCATTTTATAAATATTCAACACTTAATATAAAAACAAAAGAATCATAATAAAACAGGTTATTGGTAGCATGGACTTGAGATAAGCATTTTTCATGCATGGGATGTTGTAGGGTATTTAACATTTTCTTTAATAATTAAAGAACCAAATGAAAATCCTCAACATGCCTGCGGCTTAGTATGGAGGAAAGTGTTGTATTGAGTTAGTAATATTATTTGGTTTCGGCGTTTCGTCATGTAAATTTGTGTTTGTTAACACAACTTATCTTAATCAACCGATTATAATCTGACTAGTTTTAGCTGTAAAACTCTTGTATATAAATTAGTTATATCATAGAATAGATAGAGAGCGTCAGCAGTGCTACGGTTAATATATGTTCCAGCACCCACCGCTAGGATCGCCATGTAGTTACGGCGTACGCGCTACACGTAACTACATGGCGCTCCCAGCGGTGTGCGGCAGAACCTATGGTAACCGCAGCACGGCTGACAGTCTATATTTAATTCTTTTTGTCTATGGTTATACTGTCTATGGTCACTGCAGAACGTGTGTGTGTGTGTTCGATAGCACGATAACTTGAGTAAAAATTATCCGAATCAGATTAAATAAATTACAAAGCGTGATTGGACTGTAAAACATTTTGTTTCTTATTTTTGACTACCAAAACATAAAATTACCCAATTCTCTCAAAACCATTTTGTATAGCTCAAAAGAAACAAATAATTTAGTAGTGTTTTTGTACGATTAATGGCTATGGCTACAGAGAATATTTAAAAAAACCATAATTTCCATGTTATTTGTATATGGAGAAGAAGCAAACTGTTTGCCTTGTTAAAGGGTATATTTTGGCAAATTTATTTAAGATATTAAAATTTTACTAATAACCCCACTTTAATACCTCCCCTGTATCAGCAAACTTTTAAGTACTTGTTAACATAATTTTATTTAAATAGGGGATAAATCTGACACGTTTAACAAAGTAATAATCCAAAGATAAAGTAAAGTGATAATCCAATGAGAATGGAGTCTGCAGGTTTGCGCCGGCGGGGGTATTTTTATATTTAAAAACCATTTTACAAAAAAATACCAAGTAATTCTTGATTATCCAGGAATCCTAGGACCACACTTCATCTTCATTATACCTTGTCAATTTAGCTTGATAAGTTGTGATAAATTTAAACTCACATTGCAATTCTCTTCCAGAGAAGTAGGCCTACTGCTCCAAGGCACGCAATGGCTACTGTGGTGAGGAGGAGTGTCATGATGGTCTTCCCTGGCTCAATGATCCCGTTGTGCTCAGGCTGGTTATTAGCCAAAACTGATGATGACACTGCCATCATCTTAGATGTGCTCTCCAGCATAGACTCTCTTGGTTTTACTTTAGTCTCGTTCATTGATTTTGGTCCATTCTTGTCCATAGTAGGGCTAACAGAGACTTGGCTTTTGGGGTCTGCATTGTTCTCATTCACATTCTTCACAGGGTGCAGTTCATCTACGTCCTGTCCACCTTTGTATTTGCTTTGCAGCATATCCTCCTGTTCGGAATGTGCTTTTTCACTTTTAGGTTCCTCAGTTGTTTGTCGATTAGTAATATTCTCTAACATACTCTTTTGTAAAATCTTCACATCAGTGACATTCAAATTACTTTCCTCATGGTGTTTGGTTTCAGAATTTACATTAACATCACTAACAATAGCTGGGTTTGCTAATTCCTTTTCCTGCTTTTTAGGAAATATTCTCGGAGGTAGATTACTCTTTTTTGGATTATCTCCATACAATATTGGAGTTGAAACATCGGTTTCTTTACTTGGGAATTCTATTTTAGGTTGAGTACCAACTAGGATCGGTATAGAATCTGTTTTTGGCGGAGAATCCTGTTTGGCTGTTGCGTCTGGTGTTGGTTGGATTTCTGAAAAAATAAAAAAAACTTAAGTTACATTTTATGATTTGTCTGTAAGCTTTATGAAATTTTTCAATAAGATTTCTTCATGAAGCTATTTTATAAAAAAATATTAGTATTACCTATATCACAAGTCTGCAAACGTAACAAAACTTACAGAAGAAATGGTTTTGTTTGTACCTTTCATTTATTATAAGTTAGAAAATGTATTCTTGTACTTCAGTAATATCAAATTTGTCTCTTTTGTTGGTAGGAGATTGTTTTTTATTACACAATTAGGGTTATGCTGTATTAAGTTAACCCTTCCCAGATGGCCTTTTGAATATATACAGACAGTAAAATTATTTGATTTAAATAGAAACTTTGAAAAATCTTTTTATATGAATAATTTATAGAATGTTTAAAAATAGTTGACTCATGCAACACTTTTGTCCAAAATAATTTGCTTATACAAATTATATTTTATTTCTTACTTTTTAAAGATTGATATAGATTTTTTTTATTTCTTATTTTTCTAGACAAACATTCCTACTACCGGTAGTACATCAGTTAAAGACATCATTGAATAAGAGGGCGTTTTTACAAAAATAATTATGTTATAGAGAGAGTGTCCCGTAAGTAAACAGCCAAACTCCGGGAAATGGTTCTATGGGTCAAAATAAAGAGAAAATGAAGAATAAAAGTTTTTCCAAAATCGCTTTGTTAACCAGATATCCGCCATTTTGTATTTTGTACATACACATTTTTATTTTAGGATTTTTTCAACCGATCTTTATAAAACTTGGTATGTAGGTTAAGGTAGAAGAGCCCCATGTTAGAAAAACGAATCATCTTGATTCAACTTAAAATTTCAAAATGGCGGCCATTTTAATTTGTTAAACTTAAATTAGCCTACTCAAAAACAGCTAATTTTATGAAAAAATGCCGAGAATACTTTCAGCCCCACTTTACAACTAAAAATCGTAATTCGATCTATTTGAACTTGGTATTGTTTGATAGGGAATTAAAAATGCTAAATGAAAGTATTCTTGGCATTTTCTCATAAAATTAGCCGTTTTTGAGTAATTTAAGTTTAAAAAATTAAAATGGCCACCATTTTGAAATTTTAAGTTGAATCAAGATGGTTCTTTTTTCTAACATGGGGCTCTTCTACTTTAACCTACATACCAAGTTTTATAAAGATCGGTTGAAAAAACCTAAAATAAAAATGTGTATGTACAAAATGGCGGATATCTGGTTAACGAAGCGATTTTTGAAAAATTGTTATTCTACATTTTCTCTTTGTTTTGACCCATAGAACCATTTCCCGGAGTTTGACTGTCTACTTAAGGGACACCCTGTATAGACAATCAACTATAATAATAATTGTCGTAATAATCAGCAGATATCAGCCCACCGTCCGCGGAGCCCAAAATGCTAGCAGATGAATGCGCCTATAGTCCGAGAAGGGTTAAGACACTTTCTGTAGTTAAGATTTCTAGAATAAAGCGCTTAAACCCTGAAATCAAATTGAACCAAATTGTCATCACGATAAAAAATACCCAACAAAGGTAAATTGGCAGAAAAATCTGTTTCTAAAACTATATTGAATTTGAAATACAAATATACTTTGATGTTGTTAATAACAAAGAAAGTCAACAGTTCTTTTATGTAGGTAACTATTCTGATTTAAGAATGGAATAAATTTATTTATCTGTGTTGGGAACATAGTTTAAACAAGGAAACATGTTTCTAAAAGATTCATAGCAGGCAAGTATAGTACAAAAGAACCTTATACAGTTATGTCCACTAAAATGTTATAATGTTTAAGCGCCCCCTGGTTAGTAGATCAGTGCCAGATGCAAAATTAGCTACTCTGGCATCCTAAGTTCCTAATTAGACAAACATTTGATCACCATACTGTGCAACATAAAAATAAACCACAAACACAAACATTTATTTTGGAAATAAATTATTGCATTCTAGTGCATAATTATTCAATAAATTTATTAGCCAATTTCCCATAAACGGAATAAACTATTACTATTACAGTAGGTCTCATGGTAATACCTAGACCCAGGACTAATTTGTTTTATGCACCTAGAGGTCAAAAACACCACCTGTTAGAATTCAAATATCATTAATAACCCTTTTTGAAAGCATTTTTATTTCAAACAACTAGTTTTGACAATTAATTATGTCTTAGTCGTAGTCAAGGTTTTTGTAAATATTAATTTCATTTCTTTGAAATTGACTATATTTTATGATTGTTTTTAACATAACTGCAGGATTTATATATAAATAGTATGTTTGATTTGTGGTGTTCATGGTGTTAAGTAAATTTCAAGGTTTTTTGTGGTTTTTGTATGTTAAAATCTTCTTTTACCTTTAATTTTGGTTTATCTTTTCCATATTCAAGAGAATTTGTAAATTTTATGTATGTTTTAGCAAATTTCCCATATAAGGAATACGCTATTACCTTAGGTCTCATGGTAAAGACCTAGACCCGGGACCTTTTTTATTTTGATGTCCCCAAATCCAAAATCACCATCTGTTGAAATGTATATATTTTTCAAAATCAAAGAAAAAGTACGTTCTTATACATAATTTTAAAGGTTCGGCAATCTTAATGAAAAAGAAAACTATTCCATTTTAAAAGTTATTAATTGGACAAGGTTTTGGTAATATCTTTGACTATTGGATACTAGAGACACTCTCTACAGGCCAGTGTAGCATAGAAAAACTTAGGCCTACATAAAAATTATATTAGATTTCTCTCAAAAATCACAAATTCAAACTTCCATTGCAGAATAAGGGCTTATACAAATGTATTATCTCAATGACTCTGTACCACTATGAAAATGACAATAAATTTGAAATAAAAACAACATTTAGTGCATTTATAGCTATTTTTTATCTAAGCAAATACATTTTTTTTAATCTTAATTTGCCTGTTATTCCCTACCTGTGAGGGAATATTTAAACCTAAATTAGTGCTATTTTGTCACCAATACTTAGTAGTTTAACGCATACATTTTTTTACACTAACTTCGTTCCACCCTGTACATTTATTTATATACATATATATGTCCGTTAGCATGGTAACTCGACTACTCGAGCACAAATCATCCGATTTTGATGACATTTCATACAAACGTTTAAACCTAGCCTACATTTATTCAAACGAGTTCGTGACCCAGCATGATCGGACCATGGGAACGGGGTTTTATTAGGTAAAGAAAGGTTTTTATAATTTTTCACCCTCAAAACATAAACACTTCGTTCCACCCTGTACATTTATTTATATACATATATATGTCCGTTAGCATGGTAACTCGACTACTCGAGCACAAATCATCCGATTTTGATGACATTTCATACAAACGTTTAAACCTAGCCTACATTTATTCAAACGAGTTCGTGACCCAGCATGATCGGACCATGGGAACGGGGTTTTATTAGGTAAAGAAAGGTTTTTATAATTTTTCACCCTCAAAACATAAAGTTTCCAAATTTTTTTTAAACCATTTTGAAGAGTTTAAAAAAACAAATAATTTAGTATCTTGAAGGGTTTTTGTACGATTACAGTAGAACCCCGGTAAACCGAAATAAAGTAGGGAGAGCCGTTTCAGATAACAAATTTTTTGGTAAACCTATCATATGCTAAAAATAGCCAAAGTATCACCACAGTGTGTAGGAAAAATAAATTTAAGAGAATGTCTATACAATTCAGTGTTTTGTTTCAGCTACAAAAATGTTACAATGGGATAGAAAATACTTTAAACCTGACAACCGAAGTTATTAAAGCATTTTACAGCCCTATATTATTTTATAGAACCATTTCGGTTATCCCGGTTTTCGGTTAACCTGAATTCGGTTAACAGTGGTTATACTGTATTGGCTTCAGAGAAAATTCAAAAAATTGTAAATTTAAATTTATAATTCCCATGTTATTCTTAGTATTGTAGGGAATAAGCAAATTATTATAGCTTACTTGATTATGGATATATTTTGCTCAATTATGGCAAATTTATTCATTTTGTACTAAGCTATTTATATTTCACTGAAATAAACTTTATTACCCTGTAACAGCAAACCTAGTTAAATTTAATGTTATTTAAATAGATATCTGAAAACAAAATCAGGCAAATGGACATTTGCTTAGTTTGCAGGTTTGCTGAGGCAGGGGTATTTGAATCAAATATGTGAATAAGAGAGAGAGAATATACAGATCACACAGCCAGACATCAATGTAGACTTCATTAGATCTTCTTGTCAAATTATAAATATTGTCAACCCTATTTTGAACATGTAATTAAATGAAATATACGTAACTAAGAAATAATTTTTCCTTGTTGTTATCCATAAAAACACTTGAATCTCAATCTCAATGTCATAGTTAATCTTAAGAGCCAATAGGTTTAAAATATTAGATTGACTTATATATTTAGAAATAAGTATATAAGCCCCCTTCTAACTCTTGAGTTTCCATACATATTTCCATTATTATATGAACAATTACTAATCAGTTTTATAATATCGATGGTTTTATAAAACAAATGGAACAAAACTCACTTTGTCATTTCCTTGTAACGACATCAATGTACAATATCTTATGTGAACTATCGTATCTCTGTCTTCACTATGATAGGCCTAGTGTGATTTATTTATTAAATTAATTTATTAGATACAAAAATATATATCAGTCTCAAAAATTATGAGTTATTAGTCAGTTTTCTTTAGTAAGTGGCAGTTATAAGAAAGTGCTGGCCAGCCTGTACAGTTTTAATCCGGTTATCATTTTTATTCCATTTTAATTATTTTGCCAAAATGACATAAGTTTGAATTATTGTGACTATTACTCTTTTAAAGAATCTATTGACATACCACAATGTATTGATACATTGATGATGTGGTTGCATACTAATGACCTGACAAAGTTCCAAGAAACAAAACTAGTCATCATATGAACAACTGTGGTTAGATAAGGTAATTATTTTATTTTGTCATTAAATATGAGACAGGGCAGG